TATTGAATTAATCGAAAATATTTATAAGAGTCCCAAAAAGGTTCCATGAAAATCTTAACAAGTCTCGAAACCTTATTTACAATTACTGCAAAATTTTATAATATTAAAAAAAAAGCTTTACCTCCCAAAAAAGGTAGAACTTCTCAAAAAAAAGAAAACAAAAATCCTGATAGGTGGCACAGGAGTTGAGATATTTGGTTCGATCATATTTAAAATTTATATTACTTATATGAAAAGCAATAACTCCACAAAACTTTTGCCGATAGGTGGCACAAGAATCGAGACATTTCGAAAATCCGTATTTATGGCCCGATTTGGTCCATATTTAAAAGGAATATTACTTAAATGGAAAGATAACTCTACAAAAAATTTAGCCCGTAGGTGGTGCGGGGGTATATTTTCCTTTCCTTCTTAAGCACTAATGAAAGTTGGTCTTAATTTTTCTGTTTTTTATTAGATACTGGATTACCAGTCTGTTTTGAAGTGACTGAAGTGAGAATCTTCGTCAGACCTAAGAACTATTTGTAATGTGTAAATATTCGAACATGTTTTTAGCATTGCAGTGGAAACTTTTATGCCAAGGCGCAATATACATGTATGTATTGTTCCCACTTGCATTTAACGGCAAACTTCAATCAAGTGTAAATTCCAAAAAAATTCCCACCCGTCAAATATAATGCTTTCTTTCATCATCCGGCTTTCATTAGTATTTACAAAATATGCATTTGTTTTAGATCTCTAACTGGTTGCTGACTTCTTTTCGCACCTTTGATGTCCTATTTCAAAAGAACATCGACTTAAGTATTTTACATAAATATCAGCCAAACAAAGAAAAAAAAAACGGGATGCTTATCGACTGAGTAACCAACTGGTAGGACATGGGTGAATGAATATGTAAAAAGGTTGAATGCGCGCTCAAAGCAGCGGAAATTAAAAATGTAAATTAAAGTTGTCATTACTGGCGTTACAGTGTTGCGAACAAAAGAAATGTTATTGAAGGGAATGCGGATGTGCTGAATACATTTTTCCGTATGTGCTTGAGTGTAAGGCGTTGGAATATGTAGTAGTGAGAGGCTGGGCTCAACTGAGAAGGAGGGTCATGGACTTGTCTATGTACCTACATCGTTTGGGTATGTCTGTTTATTTGCAAAATAAGGTTGGGTGGAAGAGAACTTGTGTATGCTTTATAAAAAGGGCTCAATTGCAAATTTTTGAAAGATATTTTTTACTATTTTAGACTCAGGATGCTATATGTTCTAACTAGCTTACATTTACAAAATTTTTTTTAAGCAGTGCATCCTTTCATATATACTTTTACACATAGGTATACATTCAATCTACAGTCGTACATTTGTGCATTTTAAGCAGGGTACGAAAATAAACTGTACAAAACAATTCCCATTTGCTCATCGATAATCATATCATTTGTGGTTTTGTACAGTTTTGTAAATAGTCAGAAACAAATTGTAAGATTCACTGTCATTTTCCCCAACGAGAAACGTTTGCTTTTCGTTTGTGACAATTGTACCATAGGGTAGGTTTTATATGTATGCAAACGTTTCAATTACGTGAAAAATAATTTTTTCTGTAAATTTTCATGTCCAATTCAATTAAAAAACATTTTTATTTTTTTTATTCATTGCAGCCATTCGTTTTGTATTTGTTTATTGCATATATGTGCATACATAAATATATTTTCCCTGCACGATTCATTTCGTTTGTTGTTTCGTCTGTAACTACTAAACTACTGTAGTGTACTATCGCCAAAGTGAACTCAGCCGTTTTGTTTCGTATTGTACCGAACTGTTAAAGTAATAAACGAAACGAAATAGTAACGTACAATATAGTTTATTTTCGTACACTGATTTTAAGTAAAAGCAAAAATTTACAAACATTAAAAAAAATCATTCTAGTAATACAGGCACGCCCCAACGCCCGAAAGTATGCATTCACAAGCTATTGTACTTTTTGTTGTACATATGTAGCTGTGCATTGCATTTCTGCATGCTGTAACATTTACATGTATGCACATTAGACAGGGTAGCGCAAAAAAGTTTGCAGTTTCCCGTCCTAGTTTGAACGTTTACTTTGAGTCCTAAAAAAAGTCAAAATCGAAATTTCCTCCAAACTTTGTTTTCTATGTCTCGATTCCGAAGAGTGATGTGTGCGAATCTCAAGAGTTGTTTTCTTTTTAGTGTCAATTCCTTCTCTAGCCAGTAAACAAGTACAATAAAAAATAGATCAAGTATTTGAACAATTTTAGCCTTAAAACGTTTATTTAGGCGAAAAAGTACCAAAATTACTAATTTTTTCATTGTCACTCGAAAAAATCATAATTGTTTTTTTTTTAAATAGCTTTGGGAAGTTTTCAAATAGAATGTTCTTATTAGAGGAACTGGACGTGGGCATCAAATACAACATATCTGTGAAGTTTTAAGAGTGTGTCACCAAATTAAAAAAAAAAAAATGGCAGCATGCATTATATCTGTTGCAGCTATTTTTTAGCTTTTGAAATTTTAGATATTTTAATTTTAGTAATTTAAGATACTTCAAAATGTTAAAATTAAACGGTGAAAACAAAACTTGGTGATATAAAACTAGTGTGCCACCAAATGGAAAAAAAATACATTGAGTAAAAGATGACTATGATTTAGGAAACTAAAATTCCATGTTTATAATATTTATTGGCACACTCGAAATTCATTCTAAAATTATTATACACATGAAGAAAGTAATATATATGTGAATAAGGAATATTGTGTACAAATCTTCAAGGCCAATATTTAATTACTTTTAAATCATAGGACTTTTAAGTTAAGGCGTGCGAGTAAACGTGGTAGCTGATTGTGTATGGTGCCTCGGGGCGTATACGTTACATACACAACTGCGGGTATATGAGACGAGTTGTTCATTTTAATTTTTTTTTAAGTATATATTTTTTAAGTTTTCATTTAAATACAATTTCGCGATGGAGCTTTCAAGCTTCAACTCGCATATTATCTGAGGTAATTTTTGAAAAAATATTTTTTTAAACAAATTTAATTTATAGACAACTCGAGTTTTGGATGTATTTTCAAATCGGCCCAGCTCACGTAAATTTAAAATTTTTGCGAGATATTTTAACGGATGCACCTTAATGTGCATATATTAATCAAGCATTTTTATATACATATGTACTTTGCAACTAAGTATGTATGTATACATGTATTTACATATATAAGTATGCATGGTATACCCTGACGTATGAGCAACCAAAATATCCTCGCAGCAAAGGTGGCAGGGTAGGCCAGGCTAGCTGCAGAATTTTATAGCCAGGATGTACACACCTTTATATAAAATTTACGTATTTATACAATTTCGAAAATATGCAAAAGTATATGCATCGATTATTTATGCCAGCCTACAACATGTTCGACAACATTGCAGCAATGCCAATGGTTTGGGTTTGAGCTCCTTCCTTTGCCATAGCAAGCAATAATGGGCAGTAAAAATTTGGTGTATGTGTGCGTGCGAGACAACAACTGCCAATTTAAAATCGGTTGTCGTGGCGACTACGTTGCTAGACACCTCCACCCTTCACCATCCACCCTAACCGCAGCAGCAGCATCATTGCCTCTCATTCCATTTCATGCCATTGCATTTAATTTTTTTTATAGTCTCGCATCACTTCATTTTATTTTATTGTATTTCATTTCATTTGCATGTTTATTTGTTTTTTTGTTTTATTTCATTTTTAATTCGCGCGCTCAATATCCTAGCACATCCTGCCGTATACATAAACACACATACATACATATATTCGCACCCCCACCCAGCCAACGCTGCATTACCACATACGCGCTACAGTCAAAATACAAATTTTCGCGCGAAGCCTTACTTAAACGTGTGGATGTGTGTGTCCAATATCCTTTCGCACTCCACTCGTAATACTCGTATCGTCAGTTGCTGATGAGCTGCAATTCACATGCATACTCGTACATAAGCGCATAGGCTCTTTATGTTAAAGTGGTTGTTTGTTGTCCAGCTTTTGGGTGGACAGGTAGTGGCAATGGCAGCATTGGGCGCAGCGATGATGTTGTTGATTTTATTCATTTAAATTTTATTTTTTGTTTAATGTGTTTTTTTTTTTATGGTCGTGTTGATGCTGAAGTTGCTGCATATGTGGCTGCTGCTGTTTACTGGGCTTTATGGCTGGCCATGTGTATTGCTGTCATTAAATAAATGGTGCGTCAACTGTACTTTTGGCGTGCATATGTATTTATGTACAAGTACTAATGTATGTATGTCTGCATGCAGTAAATGCTATATTATACGTACATATGTACAAATTTATGTAAATACCTATGTATTTTTAAATTTGCACATAAATGTGTATGTTGCTTGACGACTACCGCATTTAATGCTGCCATTTAAAAGCGCAAATATATAATTTTTTATATACATAAAGTGCACATAATTACTTTTAAAACTGCATTTAATGCATGTACAAGACTAAATATACAAGTAAAAAAGTGTCTCTATACTTGTATGCATTAATATAGTACATAACTAAGTTTTGTATTGAATTTTTCCTGAAACTCTTTTAAAACTTATTTATAACAAATTATTTGTATGCTGTGATTAATTGCAACTATCGGGTGTACCCATCACCCCAGTAAACTTTCTTCATGCTTTTGCGAATGGGCTAAGACGTGCCCCTAATTCTAAGGGCTACTGAAATTATTGTATGAAATTTTCATAATGAAAATCCGATGTGCTCATCAGGGGTGAATAAACAGCTGATTAAAAATTTAACGCTTACGGTATGTGCCACGTCACACAGTGCACAGCTGCATACACTTTTTGGAAAAAATTCGATCCTCAATATACCGTGTGCAATATTTATAGACATAAATCAAGAAAGAAACGAAAAATTGGCGCGATTTATTTATTTCAAAACTAGAAGATGACCCAGTGCACTTCGTATCACCTACAATTTACTTGGTTATAACAACAAATAATTATCCATACGGGAAATACGGCAACTCCAAGTAAATTCCGCAAACTTCCAACGACTGGCCTTGTGATTTGTTTATGATCATCGCAAAGACCAAACGCACGGGGAATCGAAGCTGCTTAAAATCGAATGGCAAGTCCGTTGGAATCATAGAGACACGCGGAATTAAAACATCCTCTTCTTTGTATTTACTCTTGATGATCGTTGCCTCGATGACGTTCATCATTACCCTTTTCACAGCCAGTCCCGTACCATTGCATAGTCGAGCTTGATTAAGGTTACGCAATATGATGATGACTGAGCCAACTTTCAATTTCATATTGCGAAGTGGTAGCCCGAGCAGTTGCAGCGAATTCAGTGGGCTAGTTGTCTCTACGTCATCGCGGTTGATAACTGTGTCGATTGATTTATAGGAAAATATGTGTCCCGGAATGAATTTTTGAATTGTCACATTGGGATCTTTGTTTTTTTTGGCGGCAATACTGCTCGTTCGCTTAGCCATTTATGATATTTGAATTGTTACGCGACGTTCAGAAAAACACAAAGAAATCTGTGTATCTGATAAATCCGGTCGATGTGTCAACTGCCACTTTTCCACGATCAATGTCCAACAATTGCTTCGAAAGCACCTGCGCACTTAGTCGTCCATGCGCAAAAGCTTTCAATACTATTGGCGAGTAGGGCTTTTAGTTTTTACTGTTCAGATAGGCGACAGGGCTATTATTAATCAAAAAATTTTCAAATATCTACCTTTCGTATGTTATAAGTTTAATTGAACTAAATTTTCGAAATAGGTGGCAACCCGCCTCACAAATGCACTCAGCAGTGAGTTTTCTTAAACCTCTTTAGTTTGATACCCACATTGCAATACATATTTAATTTATCTTAAAAATATAGTTTAATTAAATTTTTGAGTCAGGTGGCAACCTCTTTAGTTTGAACCCAATATTTATTTTATTTAACCAATTTAATTTCACAAAATTTGTTTGAGATAGGTGGCAGCCCTTCTCAAAAAAAAATTTTCCGCGGTAAGCCTTCTTAAACCTTTTACTTTTGATGCCTATACTATAATACCTACTTTATCTTATCAATTACTTGTATTGAAATTTTTAAACAGCTCTCTATTTTTTTTTTAGTTTTAAGGCAGCCGGAAATTATGATGAACAAACCAAAGAAATAATTGTTCAAATCGGTAAAGCCGTTTTCGAGTTTTAAATAGACAAACCGACAGCAATTAATTTTTATATGTTTATAAGAGGATATATCTCCCATATTAACCTAACCTCAAAAACTTCTTAAAAATGCCTATAAAAAGTGCACCGAGGAATATATGACACCAACATTTTGTACATATGTATGTTCGTAATAATGTTGTATGTGAACTTCAAAAAATGCAATTAATAGGTTTACTGCAAAGCATACCTCCCATACAAACCTAATCACAAAAACTCTTTAAGAGGCCCTCAAACATCGAACCAATGAATATATAATTACGAAATTTTGCACATATATTAGCAATAATATATTATAACTAAACATCCAAAAACTGGGGTTCGGTTAAATTTAACATGCATATACCTCCCATGCAAACTTAACCTCAAAAATGCCTTAGCGTCCTCTTTTTTCAAAAATCGAAAGAAAGTCGATACCTTTTCATTTGATCCACATAGATCATATGGGTCCATTTATACGTAGCAAACGAAGAAATTGCAATGTTCTTGCACTTTCCAGCGCCTTCATCAAATTTCTGGTCGTTTAAGCGGTCCACCCCATTTGAACTGCAATGGACCGTAAATTCGCAGAAAAATGCAACAACAGCCTTTAGCCCAAATGAGCCTGTATTTAATTATAATCTTCGAGATATAATACAAAATCAACTTATTGATACAATCCACCGAAATGAACTAGTATTCATTGAAAATGAGCCCGCTTCTCTGAGCGACTCCAAGAAATTAGAGCCAAAGTATCGAGGGCCATACATAGTCCGAAAAGCTTTAGGCAAGGACCGATACCGAAATTCTTTTCTGTATATGCATCTGAGAAAATTAAACCCTCGTGTAGTGCTAATCCGAACTAGATATCGACGATGCAATGAATGATGAAGTCGTTGCCGATTCACCGTCGGAATGGGCCGAGTTGTCAACTTCAAGAAAGTCTGGCAACATTAGTAGCAACATCGTCATCAGCAGCCGCAAGTCATTCGTGGTCGTTGGCCGTGTTAGCGTGCAAATAAAATATCTATACTTTGTCTGAACTTATCTTTCAATATAATTACAGTTTTCTTTTTTAAACATTAAAGGCATAAACTTGTTAAAATAGACCGGATTCTAGCTTTATTTAATATGAACGCCGTCCTGTACATTAATTGTCTCGCCGCTCATGACAGTTGTGTTTCAATATGTATCGCGCAAAACTATACCTCAGTTTTCAATGGGAACCACAAAGACAACAATTTGCTCAAGATCTTCAAAGGTGACACAACTCAGAAAATGCGAAAAACTATTTCTTATCATTTGCTAATCACATGTTCAAGTGAGACTTTACCTTCGGTTTTTTGAACAAATTATAACAAAAGTTTGCTTCAGCTTTTCATGAAAGGTAAATAAAATCTCTGTGGACACTTCCAAATTTTGAATTGTGTCACTTTTGAAGATCGTATGCGAATTATTGGTATATAAAAAAAATGCAACTTTATAAGTTAGAAAATAAATTATGTGAACTCTTACCTGTTTGGGCTGATTTTGAATCCTTTCGAAACTTTTGTCGCGTTTTTTGAATTTGTTTATTCTGATATTGATTAGTTTTTGTTGCTAAAATATGCTGTCCGAAGTTTAGACCGTCGAAGTGGTAAACATTTTTCACGACTTCGCTTAAAACTCCACTGCTACTTATTTCAATTTAGTTTTGCTTTACGTTATAATTTATTTTTGGATATTTTTAATTTTGGTATTTTATATTTGTTTTTTTATTTTTTATTTAGATTACGCATACAATGGAATATTTATTTTCTTTTTGTTTTTGTTCCGAAACTATTTTTTTATTTACGTTTTTGTGCCACAATACATTAATAAATTTGTTGTATATTTGTGTTTTTATAAATTTATTTTGGTAGATGAGTGTTATGTATGTATTTTTCATGCAATTTTTATTTCATTTTCGCATAGACTATCCATGACTTTTAACTTACACTAAAAAATTGTGTCCAAAATTGTATTTGAAAAATGTTTTTCCAAGAATTTCTTTTTTTTTATATATTTTTTAAATGCTATATGCTAGCTGGAAAATGCAACTTGGGGTCTTTTGTTGCTTTTACGCTTTATTTGCGCTACTTTTTTCACTTTTTCAAACGGCAAAATATATTTGTTCTTGTTCTTATTTGCTGGAGCACTGCACTTCGAATTGCTTGCTTGCTTTTGCAAATCTGCCAGCTGCCGCTTTATACCGATTTCGTGTTCAATCGAAATACGCTTTCGTCTTTGGAGATAATCACCTTTTTCAAATTTTCGAAGCGGTTTTAACGAGATTTTTAAAAAATGTTTTTTTTTTCACGCGTTTCTAACGCAAATCCGTTCGAAAGTTTATGTTTTTCGTTTACGCGCACTTTTTTTATTTGTTTTCTACACTTGGAAGAATATTTTTGACCAACACGTTGTTATTTTCATTCTCTTTTAGGCATTCAATGCATTCCAACTTTTTTTCCAAGCTTCGTGTGCTTGATTTAAGCTTTTTGTTGTTCTTCACATATGCAGTTTTTGTTGTTGTTGGTTTTGGCTTTTTTGACACTCGTGTTCAGAACAGTTCGGAACAAAATTTAAAGACGGAAAATTACCGGAACTAAAAGTCTTTCGTTAAAAGGTTCTAATTTTCACAATTTACGTCCAGAATGAAAATTTTGTTTTAAAAAATTTAACAAATTTTGGCTATTTCGATTTTCTGTTTTCCTGTTT